TTTGGGATGCACTTAGTAGCATGACATTAATTAGGAATAAAGACTTCCGAGTTCTGGTGCATTTGTGCATGCGGGGGTCATTATGTTACCGCAATGCGATTTCTAGTTGTAGATTCTTTACAGCTGGAAACACGTAACTCATCTGCAGGTCTTCACCCTGAAGGTCAGACTGTGCAATGAGCTCCATCTGAGAATCCACAGGCGTTAGCTGGTTAAAGGTCAAGGGTCAGGCTCCACAGGCCTCAATAAGTGGGTTGAAGGTCAGACTCTACAGGCTTTAGTTAGCAGGTTAAAGGTCAAAGGTCAAATTCATAGGAATCTGGAAATATAATTGACTATACAACTAAAATCATATTAACAAGAATATAATAAAATTATTTCCATCATTGTTTCTTTATTGAGTTTTACTTTATCCAAACTACAGGAAGAAACGAGTTTAAAACATATGAAGTGTTTTTGTTTTGTTTTGTTCCTGTCACCAGAACTTCGTCCTGCTTCTCCTGTCAGATCCATCTGATCCCAGCTGGAGGACATAATCCGTCCAAATGGGTCGACCCACAGCTCCGTCCAGCTGCCCAGTAAACCATCACAGGAGGCTGTCCCGACTGGGTCCTGGCTCGTTTATTTACCCATCTTTACATCCTCCATCCTGCAGAGGAGGAGGAGAGGACCCAGAGTCTTACTGCACCTCCTCAAATCAGCTCTAAAGACGGGCTTTAGTTCTGGAGAACTGGACTCCTTTCCCACACATCTCCTTTTAACATGAATCTGGGTTTAATGTGGCCAAATAAGTCCATAATTATTGAATATGTTTATAATGTTGCTGTAAATAAAACTCAAAACATTCTCATCTTTTAAAAATGCCTTTTCAGTTTAATCCATGAGAACTGCGACACTTTTTAAACTGTAGGTCAGTTTCTTTGACTCTGAGCTCGTTTATCTGAGTAAATTCAGCTGTAACGGATAAAATCCTGTCAGAAATCAGCCTAATTTCTTCAGTTCTTTTTGCCATCTGTGGAGGATTTTTCCTGCCTGATGGTTGGAGGACAAACAGATGACAGATGGACCGAAAATATGAAAAAATAAAAAAATTTACAGATTGACTGAGAAAAATAAAATGAGACAAAAGCTTCTCTGGTCTCATTGTTAAAAGGTCCAGTATCCATCAACCTTCTTCTCTAAGGTTTTTTTGGAAAAATTTAAAATAAGACAGAGTCAGACTCTTACTTTGAAAGTCCACATTCAAACCTCTTCCTGTTTCCTGCCAACCTTCTGACTGAATCCTCCAGAACATCTAAGAGACATGAAGGATCTGAGGGGGCGGCGATGATGGAAAAATAGGAGGAAAAAGGTATATTGGTTGGTTCTGGTTCTGGTTTGTTTTGTTGTTTTTTGGACCCTCAAGCTGAAAGTTGTTGGTTCCTTCTTTGTTCTGTCTACAGGTGGAGCAAATCAGGAGACGTTATGGAGACACTCAGAAGACATTCTGGAGATAATCTGGAGACACGTAGGAGAAATTCTGAAGACATTCAGGAAGCATGTAGGAGACATTCTGAAGACATTCAGGAAACATGTTGGAGACATTCTGAAGACATTCAGATGACATGTAGGAGACATTCTGAAGACATTCAGATGACATGTAGGAGACATTCTGGAGACAGTTTAGAAGACATGTGGGAGACATTCTGGAGACATTCAGAAGACATGTAGGAGACATTCTGAAGACATTCAAGAAACATGTAGGAGACATTCTGAAGACATTCAGAAGACATGTAGGAGACATTNACATGTAGGAGACATTCTGAAGACATTCAAGAAACATGTAGGAGACATTCTGAAGACATTCAGAAGACATGTAGGAGACATTCTGAAGACATTCAGGAAACATGTAAGAGACATTCTGAAGACATTCAGGAAACGTGTTGGAGACATTCTGGAGACATTCAGATGACATGTGGGAGACATTCTGAAGACATTCAGAAGAAATGTAGGAGACAATAAGAGAGATTCTGAAGAAATTTTAGAAGACATGTGGGAGACATACTGAAGACATTCAGAAGACATGTAGGAGACATTCAAAAGACATGTGGGAGACATTTTGGAGACATTCTGGAAACATGTAGGAGACATTCAGAAGACATTCTGAAGACATATAGGAGACATTCTGGAGACATACAGAAGACATGTAGGAGACATTCTGGAGACATTCAGAAGACATGTAGGAGATATTCTGGAGACATTCAGAAGACATGTAGGAGACATTCTGGAGACATTCAGAAGACATATAGGAGACATTCTGGAGACATTCAGAAGACATGTAGGAGACATTCTGGAGACATTCAGAAGACATGTAGGAGACATTCTGGAGACAGTTTAGAAGACATGTAGGAGACATTCTGGAGACATTCAGAAGACATGTAGGAGACATTCTGAAGACATTCAGGAAACATGTAGGAGACATTCTGAAGACATTCAGAAGACATGTAGGAGACATTCTGGAGACATTCAGAAGACATGTAGGAGACATTCTGGAGACATTCAGAAGACATGTAGGAGACATTCTGGAGACATTTTGAAAACAATCTGGAGATAATCAGGAGACACTCCAAAGATATGGAGACATTTTAAAGACACTGGAGACATTGTGGAGACATTCATAACCAAACCCAAAGTACCATCAGACGGAGGTTAGAACTTATGGACCCGTCATCAGAACCTGATTGAACCAGAGATCATTATTCGTGTCACTCTGACCCGATTGGTTTGTTCTGAACATTGACATCATAAACTGGGTTGGTTCATCAAACATTTGCTGGCTTCGTCTGATACAAAAGGTCAAAGGTCATCACTCAGAACCAATACAACCAACAGTCCAAGACAACAGGGACAGAAAGCAGGCCTATAATTTCTGGTTCTGGTTGTGCTGGCCCAGTGAGCTGCAGAAACAAAGAGCTGATGACGACGAAGACTTCAAGCGACGTAGAACCTCTGACTGGCCATCAGGGCGGTCTGACTCTCCCTGCGTTTGTCCCTCCTCCTCCTTCTCCTCAGTCGGACTCTCCAGCAGACAGCGCTGGACCCCACCAGGCAGAGTCCGACAGCGAGCAGAACCAGCCCCAGGACAGAGATGTTGGACCCGTGGGGGTTAAATGTGTAGGCCACCGCCGTCACCACCACGCCGGTGATAAAGACCACTGCTCCGAATGGCACCAGGCAGCGGCTGCAGGACGTCTCGGCGCCGCCGGTCGCCGCCGCCAGCTGCACCTCATTGACGTGGGGGACGCGTGTCGTCACGACGACCCCACTTTCCCTCCGGACCCTGTCCCGACTCAGCTTCTCCGCAGAGATGGACGTGGGTATCCTCACGGCGGTCCTCGGGATCCTGGCCCCGCCTTTGACGTAGAGCTCCTTCGGCATGGCGACCTCTCCGGCGAGGAACAGGTGAGCCATCGCAGCGACGTCAGCCAATCAGCTGTAAGCAGACATGAGCATTACGTTTATTTACTGAGTCACTAATTTAGACTTCTACCACTGAAGATTCAACTGAAATGTTTCAAAAGTTTTTAACAAAAAATAAAATGAATAAATTCTGCGGAATCAGTAAAGGAACCAAAACAAGTCCAACAGGAAGTCTTATTCTGAAACTCCAGATGCTTACTTGTTCCTGTTCCTGCCCACTCTCTGACTGAAGGATCTATGGGCTCAAGACCCCATAACTCGAGACCAAGTCAAGACCAAGACCAGAGTTTATTGTGACCATAGACTTGAATAAGATCACTAGACTAAGCCCCGCCCATCCCGTCCACTGTGTGACAGCATGGAGGAGCAGAAACAGACCAAACAGGACAACAGCTCACAGCCTCCAGAGAAACTAATAGATAAACAGCAGCTGAACTGGATCTGTTTCACAGATTATCTGTCATGTTTTTACAATAAATTAATAATTGTGTTAATTTCATTCAACAATCATGTAAAACAGCAGATTTATACCAGAAAAATATATAATTTATAAGTAACAATGATCTAAACCAGACCTTGAAGTCAGCCTGTAACTTAGACTTTAGCTAGTTGAAAAATGACGACTTCAGCTAGTAATAAAGTATATTTATTATTTCTTCTTACTGTCATAAAAATAATAATATTTATATTTATCAGTCAACAGTTAGAAAATGTTCTCTGGTTATAGGATGAAACTTGTCTCTATTAGCTAACATCTTCTTAACAGGTCAGGTTCCTCTAACAGGAACCTAAAAATACTCACATTTATAATATTTTACACTCTGTAGGTCTAAATATTAATCAGACATTTATAATATTATTTTTCACTCTGTAGGTCTAAATATTAATCAGAGGACAAATCAGCTGTGATATTTAATAGTTTGTGTTAAATTGTAACATGATTCAACAGAGCTAAACTGTGTATATATGCTCCACAAGCTAATGTCTGTTAACCAGTTCAATAAATAACAGTGATTACATGGACTTTATAAGATTATTTTAATTTTAAACTCTTACATTATGTTCTGCTCAGATCACATTGAGCAAAATAAGATCAAATCTGCTGACTTGTTGTAAAATGAGACGTTTTACTGTTTATCTTCTGTTAATAAATCCATAACACAAACAGCTTTTCTGACTTTATTTAAAACATTAGATAGATTATATAAACTGTAAAATATTAATAATAATTGTGTTAGTATTATTATTAATAGTTTTAATGATTTCTACATCGTCAGTCCCGTTTAGCGTTAGCCATTAGCTTCACCAGCCGATCACATGATCACCTGGTTTCTGAGCTCCAGTTGTTCTATTTAAACTCCTTGATCAAGACCGAGACCAAGGCCTGGGGCCTGTCTTACTTGTCCTCTTCTCCTGCTCCTCCTTTTCTTCTTCCTGCTCTTGTCTCCTGTCACTCGATTGTTCTCCTCCTCACCTGTCCTACTCTTCACTTTGCTCCTGTCCCCTTCTCTTCCTCCAGCTCCTCTCTCCTCTGCCTCCTCCTCTTATTTATTCTTTTCCTCCTGCTTCTCTTTTTCCTGCTCCTCCTCACCTGTCCTCCTTTTTATTCTGCTCCTGTCTTCACCTCCTCTTCCTCCTCACTCCTCCCACTCTCCCTCACCTGTCCTCTTCTTCCTCCTGCTCTTCCAGCTCCAGACATCTCGTTCTGGTCCTTCTCTTTCTCCCTCTTTTTCTCCTGCACCTCCTACTTCTTGTTTTCCTCCTGCTCCTCCTCTCTTCCTCTTGCTCCTATACTCCTGCATCTTCATCTCTCCATCACCTGTCCTCTTCATCCACTTGCTCCTTTTCCTCACATGTCCTCCTATTCACTCTGCTCCTGTCCGCTCCTTCTTCTCTTCCTCCTGCTCCTGTCTCCTCCTCTTGTTCCTCTTCCTACTACTTCTTCTTTTTCTCGTGCTCCTCCTCTCTTCCTCTTGCTCCCATACTCCTGCATCTTCATCTCTCCATCACCTGTCCTCTTCTTCCACTTGCTCCTTTTCCTCACATGTCCTCCTATTCCCTTTGCTCCTGTCCGCTCCTTCTTCTCCTGCTCCTGTCTCCTCTTGTTCCTACTTCTTCTTTTTCTCCTGCTCCACCACCTATCCATCACATGTCCCCTTCTTTCTCCTGCTCCTCCTCCTCTCCTGTCCTCCTTTAACTCTGCTCCTGTCTTCACTTTCTCCTCCTCTTCCTGCTCCTGTCTCCAGAGTCACTTTGTTCTTCTCACCTGTGTTCCTCCTCCCTGTCTCCCTCACCTGTCCTCCTTCTGCTGCTGTCTCCTTCTGGTCCTCCTCTTACTCCTTCTCTTCTCCTTTTCCTTCCTAGTATTCTCCTCCCTCTGTTTCTCCTCCTTCTGTTTCTCCTCCTGCTCCTCCTCACAGTCTGTTTCTGTTTTTATTCTTTCAAACTGATGTAATAAATAAATCATAAATAATCTGAACAGTCTAGACGCTCTCCCTGCTTCCTGCCAGATTAAATTATTTTAATGTTGTTTTCTACTTGAAACTAAAAGATTTTATTTATAAAACAAATAAACAAACAAATAAACAAACAATATTTTTATCTTTAGCGGCTGAAAAAACAGATCTGATCCGTTTAAAACTCAGAATAAACAGACTTACTGCAGCAGAGAGTCCAGCTTCATTCCTCCTGATGCTTTTCTCCTCACAGCCCAGAACACTCCTCCTCCCTCAGAACCAGAACCAACACTCCTCCTCCCAGCAGAACCAGAACCAACACTCCTCCTCCCAGCAGAACCAGAACCACAAGCTTAAACTCTTTCTTTCCTCCAAATATTTTCCTAAAACTCTAAAAAGCTGGGTCAGGTTTACAAAAACTAAACCCTGTCCAGCAGAGACTATCTGCATTTGAAAAGCTCCAGACCAGAACCAGAACCAGAACCTGAGATCCTCTTTCAGGCTGTCAACATCAGGAAGAACCAGAACCGGTCCAGGCAGCTGAAGAACTGCTGCAGAGTCCGTTTAAGCTTCAAAGAAAGAAAAACAAAGCAGAAAACCAGACAGACCTACATATCCCATCATGCATTGCTTCACCACAGACTGTTGATTAAAACAGTTTGTCTTCATTAAAGTTATATTTAGGTCTAAGTCAAGGTTCTGGTCCAGACTGGGGAAGCTCCTCGTAGTTCTGGAGGGTTTTCCTATAAAAGAGCAGCCTGTGGTTCTGATGCAGGGACCAGAACCAGAACAGATCATCATGGTTCTGATTAGTAGAACCAGCATCAAAGGTTTTTATTTCTGGTTCCCTCTGCTCAGCAATTTCTGGGACCCTGAGGGACCCCAAGGGACCCCCTGTCCTGACACAAGACTTTTATCAAAGTCTTTTTTAGGAGCAGAAGGAGGTCAAACTGCAGCGTCAGCGTTTCCTCTGTGTTCTGATCCAAATCCAGCACCTGCTCAGACAGGAAGCAGCAGACAGGAAGTCAGCAGCTGCAACCTCACCTCTCCAACCATCTGCTCGGCTCCGGAACCAGAACCAGAACCTCCAGAGACCTAATAACTCACATCATCCCTGACCCACAAACAGATCCAGGAAGAAAGTGATTCAGCGTCAGGAGGCGGCCCACCTGGACCCAGAGACCAAAACCAACCTGAGCTTTGAGTTTGCATCAAACATCAATCACAGGTCCAAAAACAGCTGGTTCTGATGGGCCCTGCTGGTTCTAACTGAGGGTCCTGCAGGTTCTGACATCTGAGATTAAATTGATCTTTAATTCAGGCTGGATTTAAAACCAATCTGCAGATTTTACCATTTTCTTTTCTTTTCTTTTCTTTTCTTTTACTTGTAAATTAATTGTAAATTCCTAAGAAAATATATAATAAATGATGTAAATTAATTTGTTGTTTATTCTGTAGAAACAGAAAATAATCCTAATCTGAATTAGAAAATAAACTGCATTTATTCAGAGAATGGTTTTGGTTCTGGTTCTGGGATCAGTTCAGGATCAGGCCTCTCCTGCTGAAGCCTGAAGTCCTGCTGACACCTGGTGGTGACATGAGGAACTACACCTGAACCTGTCACCTGTGTGGTAAACAAACAAACAAACAAACAAACAAACAAACAAACAAACAAACAAACAAACAAATGAAAGTTCTCAAAGATTTCATCTTAAAAGTTTAATTTTTAGTTTTTGAGATGAGTTCTGGTCGTCAGAACTTCCTGAAGCTTCTCAGAACCAGGTAAATGATCCAAAACGCTTCTTGGACCTCCTCTACCCTTTGCTCCTGAGATTAAAAACAAAAATAATCCAAGAAGAATCTGAATCTGTTCCAACAAACAGGGATTATCATTAAAGAGGGCCAGAGGAAACAGAACTTTATAAACATCTCAAGAACATCTAACCTAAGAAAGACCTGAAACTGATCCAGAACCTTGGTGGAACTCTGGGCTTTTTAATTTGGGATTACAAAAAGTTTTCCACAAAACTTAAAACCTAATTACAGGACCTGAGAGGTCCAACTGAAACCACCAGAACCAGGAAAACCCAACCCTCCTCAGGTCCTGAAGAAGCAAACATTGGTTCCTTAAAGTTCTCCTGGAGCACATCCAGAATCATCAAAACATTTACCACAAGAACCCCTGGAGTCCAGTCAGAACCAGCAGAGTCCAGACAGAACCCTCAGAGTCCAGTCAGAACCAGCAGAGTCCAATCAGAACCAGCAGAGTCCAGACAGAACCCCTGGAGTCCAGTCAGAACCAGCAGAGTCCAGACAGAACCCCCAGAGTCCAGTCAGAATCAGCAGAGTCCAATCAGAATCAACAGAGTCCAATCAGAACCAGCAGAGTCCAGTCAGAACCAGCAGAGTTCTGCTTTGGTCTTTTCAAGTTTAAAGTCTAAAAACAAAAAAGCAGAAGTTTAGACCCCCTCACTTCTTCTTCTGTTGGACTCCATAGACCTGCTAAACCTAGTAACCCTGTTGGACCCTTTGACCCTGTTGGACCCCATAGACCTGCTGGTTATTGTGACCCTGCTGGACCCCATAGACCTGCTGGATGTAGTGACCCTGCTGGACCACATTGACTAGATGACCCTGTTGAACCTCATAGACCTCCTGGACTACGAATCTGTCGGGGCCCTATGGACCTTCTGGACTTGTTTACCCCCATGGACCTGTTGGACCTCATGAACCTGTTGGGCCTCATGGACCTGTTGGACCCCAAAGTTTGCTAAACCCAAAGGCTCTGTTGGATTCCATAGACATTTTAGACCTTTGTGGACCTCTTGGATCCTATGGAACTGCCGGACCCCATAGACGTGTTGAACCCAATAGGCCTGCTAGACCCCATTGACCTGCTGGACCCACGAGTCTGTAGGATCCCATGGACCTGTTGGACTTGTTGACCTCATAGACCTATTGGACCCCATGGATCTGCTGGACCCATGAGCCTGTTGGATTCTGTGGACCTGCTGAATCAATGACTCCATTAGACCAGATTATCCTGTTGGACCCCAGATCCTGGACCATGAATCAGGATCAGTGGTGTTCCTGGTTCTTACCTGTTAAGATTAACTCCATCCATCCATCCATCCATCCATCCATCCATCCATCCATCCATCCATCCATCCATCCATCCATCCATCCATCCATCCATCCATCC